AAAGGCTACGAAGCGTCATTAACAATCTGTCTTTATAAAGACTTCGAAGCGTCGTTAACAATCGGTCTTTATAAAGACTACGAAGCATTGACAATCTGTCTTTATAAAGACTACAAAGCATCATTAACGATCTGTCTTTATAAAGACTACGAAGCATCATTAACAATCTGTCTTTATAAAGACTACGAAGCATTAACAATCTGTCTTTATAAAGACTACGAAGCATCATTAACAATCTGTCTTTATAAAGACCACGAAGCATTAATAATCTGTCTTTATAAAGACTACGAAGCTTCATTAACAATTTGTCTTCATAAAGACTACGAAGCATTAACAATCTGTCTTTATAAAGACTACGAAGCATCATTAATAATCTGTCTTTATAAAGACTACGAAGCATTAACAATCTGTCTTTATAAAGACAACGAAGCATCATTAACAATCTGTCTTTATAAAGACTACGAAGCGTCGTTAACAATCGGTCTTTATAAAGACTACGAAGCATCATTACAATCTGTCTTTATAAAGACTACAAAGCATCATTAACAATCTGTCTTTATAAAGACTACGAAGCATCATTAACAATCTGTCTTTATAAAGACTACGAAGCATTAACAATCTGTCTTTATAAAGACTACGAAGCATCATTAACAATCTGTCTTTATAAAGACTACGAAGCATCATTAATAATCTGTCTTTATAAAGACTACGAAGCATTAACAATCTGTCTTTATAAAGACTACGAAGCGTCGTTAACAATCGGTCTTTATAAAGACTACGAAGCATTGACAATCTGTCTTTATAAAGACTACAAAGCATCATTAACAATCTGTCTTTATAAAGACTACGAAGCATCATTAACAATCTGTCTTTATAAAGACTACGAAGCATTAATAATCTGTCTTTATAAAGACTACGAAGCATCATTAACAATCTGTCTTTATAAAGACTACGAAGCATTAACAATCTGTCTTTATAAAGACTACGAAGCATCATTAACAATCTGTCTTTATAAAGACTACGAAGCATTAATAATCTGTCTTTATAAAGACTACGAAGCTTCATTAACAATCTGTCTTTATAAAGACTACGAAGCGTCGTTAACAATCGGTCTTTATAAAGACTACGAAGCATTGACAATCTGTCTTTATAAAGACTACAAAGCATCATTAACAATCTGTCTTTATAAAGACTACGAAGCATCATTAACAATCTGTCTTTATAAAGACTACGAAGCATTAATAATCTGTCTTTATAAAGACTACGAAGCATCATTAACAATCTGTCTTTATAAAGACTACGAAGCATCATTAACAATCTGTCTTTATAAAGACTACGAAGCATTAATAATCTGTCTTTATAAAGACTACGAAGCATTAACAATCTGTCTTTATAAAGACTACGAAGCATCATTAATAATCTGTCTTTATAAAGACTACGAAGCATCATTAACGATCTGTCTTTATAAAGACTACGAAGCATCATTAATAATCTGTCTTTATAAAGACTACGAAGCATTAACAATCTGTCTTTATAAAGACTACGAAGCATCATTAACAATCTGTCTTTATAAAAACTACGAAGCATCATTAACTATCTGTCTTTATAAAGACTACGAAGCATCATTAACAATCTGTCTTTATAAAGACTACGAAGCATCATTAACAATCTGTCTTTATAAAGACTACGAAGCATCATTAACAATCTGTCTTTATAAAGACTACGAAGCATCATTAATAATCTGTCTTTATAAAGACTACGAAGCATTAACAATCTGTCTTTATAAAGACTACGAAGTATTAACAATCTGTCTTTATAAAGACTACGAAGCATCATTAACAATCTGTCTTTATAAAGACAACGAAGCATCATTAACAATCTGTCTTTATAAAGACTACGAAGCATCATTAACAATCTGTCTTTACAAAGACAACGAAGCATCATTAACAATCTGTCTTTATAAAGACTACGAAGCATCATTAACAATCTGTCTTTATAAAGACAACGAAGCATCATTAACAATCTGTCTTTATAAAGACAACGAAGCATCATTAACAATCTGTCTTTATAAAGACTACGAAGCATCATTAACAATCTGTCTTTATAAAGACTACGAAGCATCATTAACGATCTGTCTTTATGAAGACTACGAAGCATTAACAATCGGTCTTTATAAAGACAACGAAGCATCATTAACAATCTGTCTTTATAAAGACTACGAAGCATCATTAATAATCTGTCTTTATAAAGACTACGAAGCATTAACGATCTGTCTTTATAAAGACTACGAAGCTTCATTAACAATCTGCCTTTATAAAGACTACGAAGCATTAACGATCTGTCTTTATAAAGACTACGAAGCATTAATAATCTGTCTTTATAAAGACTACGAAGCGTCATTAAAAATCTGTCTTCATAAAGACTACGAAGCATCATTAACAATCTGCCTTTATAAAGACTACGAAGCATCATTAACAATCTGCCTTTATAAAGACTACAAAGCATCATTAACAATCTGTCTTTATAAAGACTACCAAGTATCATTAACAATCTGTTTTTATAAAGACTACGAAGCATCATTAACAATCTGTCTTTATAAAGACTACGAACAGTGATAGTCCCAGGACTGATCGTTTGATATGATAGCCCATGACAATTGCTGTTATGTTTATATATTAATATTGATATTGATCATGTAATGTAAAGCGTAAAATGACGCGGCTTGTGTAGCTTTCAAGTCAATATCGATATAGTGATTACACATTGTGTGGTTCATCGGGATCATCTGTCCGCCATTGGTTTTGTACATAAACAAACTGTTACCTATATACACAGAACAAAGGAAATGGAAGTTTATCCGTCACAGAGCCCGTCATAAAAACAAGGACAAACAAAGAAACGATTATAATGGAGAATAGTGTCTGTAAACCACACTAAAAACAATATCCTACAAATCTTTATTAAAAATTTCATTTATGAAAAAAACAAACGCTGACTTTAGCCCTTCTTAGGGCCTAGTAGATAGTGGTGGAAAAGTTCGACAGATTAAAACGTCTTTCAGACTTTGTTTATTAGATGTGAATTCGTTCCAATCACTCTCAATGGTTTTAAGATTCAAGCTTGTGATGGGTCTGTTGGAGTAGACACAAAATAATTAATTAATCAATTAATGATTACTTAACTGTATGTGGATGGAACACTGGGATATGTATGCATGGTGTGTGACGTACGAAAGCTCTCCTGCGCGAGGACAGTGACACCAACACCAAGAGTTTGACCCCGGGGTCACGTTTGTTGACTGTCAGTTTCATTTTGGTTTTCTTTTACTGAAATGTAACACGTGATTTAACTTCATCACGTGACTTACACCTGTTCATGCTGATGACAAATTAACACTTGTCAGACTAAATCCCACCTATACGTAGTAAAATCAAACATGAAGTAAAAAGTAAAAACAAATATGAAAATGCTTTATTCATGAACGAAAAAGCATGTTTTTATATATGTGATAATGGTTCATTTTGATTCCATAATCAATGACCGAGGATCAATATTTAGGATCACGTTACCCTTCGTTGTAACAGTGTTTTCACTTTCTGACAACATATTAGATGCTCGATGAATTAAATATCTTGCTTCAGAAAATATAAACTGTTGATATTGTGCAATGCTAATAATTTTTCAATGTCATATTGAGAGAAAAACATCTAAACTTATTTTGTTTTAAAAATGTGATAAAAATTAAATATAAAACATTGTGCACGTTCGAAAATCAATACATTCCAGATGTAAAAGATATATATCTATAACCACGGTAAGGATAGGTTTATATCTATAATATAACCACGGTAATGATAGGTTTATATCTATAACCACGGTAAGGATAGGTTTATATCTATAACCACGGTAAGGATAGGTTTATATCTATAATATAACCACGGTAAGGATAGGTTTATATCTATAACCACGGTAAGGATAGGTTTATATCTATAATATAACCACGGTAAGGATAGGTTTATATCTATAACCACGGTAAGGATAGGTTTATATCTATAATATAACCACGGTAAGGATAGGTTTATATCTATAACCACGGTAAGGATAGGTTTATATCTATAACCACGGTAAGGATAGGTTTATATCTATAATATAACCACGGTAAGGATAGGTTTATATCTATAACCACGGTAAGGATAGGTTTATATCTATAATATAACCACGGTAAGGATAGGTTTATATCTATAACCACGGTAAGGATATGTTTACATCTATAACCACGGTAAGGATAGGTTTATATCTATGATATAACCACGGTAAGGATAGGTTTATATCTATAACCACGGTAAGTATAGGTTTATATCTATAACCACGGTAAGGATAGGTTTATATCTATAACCACGGTAAGGATAGGTTTATATCTATAATATAACCACGGTAAGGATATGTTTACATCTATAACCACGGTAAGGATAGGTTTATATCTATAACCACGGTAAGGATAAGTTTACATCTATAACCACTGTAAGGATAGGTTTATATCTATAACCACGATAAGTATAGGTTTATATCTATAACCACGGTAAGGATAGGTTTATATCTATAACCACGGTAAGGATAGGTTTATATCTATGATGTAATCATGGTATGGATAGGTTTATATCTATAAAAGGTAAAACTTGCTTTGCAATTGTTGTAAAATAAATAAAGTTTATTATTATCATAACCTCGGTAAGAATAGGTTTATGTCTATGATATAACCACTTATAATCAAAATGCTGTCAAACAGTACTTGTATAACTTCGGAAATTATTTCTGTCGTTCTTTTAAAATTAACGTTAGTTAAATTAGTATGATATCTTAGATGACATAGAAAAGAAGGGACCATCTAAACAATTTAAATAAAATGCTTTGTTTTGGTAGTTTTAAGAAAAATGTTTTTTAACTCTTTATATATACACACACAATTTGAATGATATGAAAATACACGATTGAAGACCTACCTGCAAGCAGATAATTGTGTTTGTGTGTCCACTACAGGTCTTGAGAAGGTTCGCCGAGGAAATCTTCCAAATATGGATATCAGTATCTACACTTCCGGTAACCAGAAACGTTCTCGATTCATCTGTTGCCATGCATGTAACAGGCCCTGTATGCCCTTTGAAGATATTAATTGTTTGTCCTGAATCACAGTTCCACGACCTTGCTGTGCCATCTGCTGACCCCGTCAAAAGGATCCCAATAGACATATCTTCATCCTGTTCTTCAGCTTCTTCATCATCCTCATCAAGCGTTGGTATGAACACGAGGGGGTAGATGGCGCGCTTATGTCCTTTGAACACCCTCAGGCATTCTCCTGTGTCGAAATCGAAACATCTAGAGGTATGGTCAAAACTACTGGTAAAGATAAAATCACCTGTACAAATCATTCTGTGAATCAACGAAATATGGCCTTTACATATTGTAATTGACTGGAAGTTATTCTCCACATCCCACTTTCGAACTGTCTTGTCACTGCTTCCGGTCAAAATATATCCTCCGACGATAAGGATACATGTAATGTAACCGGTATGTCCGGTGAGTTCGCCCATTCTTCGGAAACCTTTTCCGTACCTAGCGTCCCAAACCTTTCCTGTTTTGTCATCCCCAGCTGTAACCAGTATATATCCATTGTCACTTAAAGCCATACAGTTAATGCCATCACTGTGACCTTGAAAGGTCGTGATGAGGTTTTGTTTACAGGTGGTAACCTCCTTACTACAAAAGCTACCCATACCTTTGAACGCTGTCTTTAGCACTGAAAACCTTCAATCCCAACTTCAAACTTTACTCTGTTCGACAGTTTCTTCCTGAAAATGGCTATTATTTTGTATGTTTTGTATCATCAAATTACATATTTTGATTGGCTACATCATCAAGAATTATTCACCTACTTGCAAATATAAATCGTACTTTTTGCAAGGCCTCACGATGAACTCATCCACTTTTACGTTTCAAAAGGCAGAAATAGTTCGACACTAGAAATATAGAATAAAATCACTTTGAAATAGTCGGATACAATATTTGATCAATATCGATACAAGATCGTCCTCGTAAACCGTCACATTTCACTGTTAAGACCTGTGATTGTCAGGACTTATATAGTTTGCGATAGATGACGGAGGTCTGACTTGTCATCAGCCAGTTCTTTGTGTCCGGCAGTTTAGTAGAGCACCTGTTAAATATCACTAATGAATATCACTTTATTGTCTGTTTGTTATCTAAAAAATGGTAAGTTCCAGGTCTGTTTTTAATTCCCTTTAGGTTTCAGATACCGCGAAAAAGTCAATATATTGGCGTTGGTATCATTTCAACTTAATGATGAGAGACAACAGTCCGACTTTCTATTGTAAATACAGCAGTATCAAGACAAGCTAGGTGATTACCATCACGCGATGTTCGGAAAATGTTCTAAATAAAAAGATGTCATCGACGAGAAGGCAGTGTTTATCAAACCGAAACCACATTCAAAGACAACCAGCAATGCTGATTAACACATTCACCCAATCAAATCCAGCAGTTCGCCTGCCGAGGGACTTTGTGACGTGGGTGACATGGAGACACTTCAGACAGAATGGTTATAAAAAATACAAGAACAATACACATATAGAATCCACCATTCCGAACCGATTCTGTACTGTTCAGTTTATCTCTGTCACAATGAAAGAACGGTTTGAATTAATAATATGTCGTCAGCCACTCGCCATGGTTGGTGAGCGAAGCGCTGTCGTTATGAATGTTTCATGTAGTACAGCGTATCAATATCTGGGAACGGCAGATCGGCCCGGTTAGTATTACAAATTTTTTTTCTGTTCGTTTTTCGTTTGTTAATTGACAATAACGTGAAAATGTCAGTATTTTTTTGCATGTTAAATTTATTTGCTTATTAAATACTCATTTTTTAATGACTACACAATGCATAAGAGCAGCACGCTGGTTTCCGTCGTTGACTGGTTATAAGTAATGTATGCTTAAAGTATGAATCTTTAATCTGAAATCGCGAAAATAAAATAGAGAAAATCCCAGTCCATTTCAAGACATCCGTGAAAAATTTCATCATTTCTGCTCGAAAGTTCCGGTAAAAGCGCGAAAATTTGAACCCTCAGATCAGAGTTACTTCCCCTTCTGTTCACTCTTTAGCAACATGCATGACATACGAAGAGGTTACAGTGTCTATGACTGTATTAAACACAATATAACATTTTGTTGGTAAACTCGTATATCGTTCAGTTCCTTTTGAAAAGCGTTGGAATCGACTAGTTTTACTGTATTTCAAACATGTAAAATGAAACTACGTGAATGATACTAATAGCGAGCGCTTTAAGGTATTGTGCGTGTTGTTATTCAACTCCAACGAACTGTCCATACGATCAACTTTAAACGGAAGTGTGGCTGGAACTTCATTACCCACAATACACTTACCGCAGCACGCAATGAGAACTGCCGACCCGTTGAATGGATTAAAATGATTTTGACCGACAAATTGTCGTTTCAAGCTGTCATGTGGAAATGAAATCATACTAAAAGTCTTAAATATTTCAAATGGATTTAACAAATATATACTTTAATGGTTTTAAACGCATATAACGAATATCTCGTTGAAAAATTACAATTTTAACCATTCAAGATATGAGCACGATTGTGCACCGCTGTACCTGATTTCCGGTTTAACCTTCGGGAACTTTCGTCACTTTCCGTACGACATCGTCTCTTACACGAAAGCAGCCGAAAGGTACCGATTTGGCGAAAACCCGGTCTTGTCTTCTCACAATATTAATTCTGCTAGATGTGGATATTCTTTTGATAACTGTTTGAAATTAATTATGATCAAGTATATGAATGTTTAGAAATTTTCCAGCAGACACTTATAAGGCACGATGAGAAGATAACTATTAGTCGAAAACTTCAATAGCAAAGAGAAAAGAAAACGATGGTAGAGAACATTCTGTTGTTAATAAATGAGAATTTGTTAAACATATAACCACCACCGTTACAAATCCGACTAAAAATATATTGTATTTCACAATGTTTGGACTACAAACTCTTTTTTAAAAGCAAAATCGATATATAGCCCTCTCTGCAATATATGTAACTCTGAAAGGAAAACTCTTGTACATTTATTTTGAAAACTTTTTTTTTATCAATTTTTAAGTCTAGATATGTTGTCAAAGACTTTATCGATACATTTACTGTTACCATTGAAACCGATGACCCTCATCACAAATTTCAGTTTTTCTGGGCAAATGCTCTGAAACCATTCAAGATAATTGTTCACATTTTTTACACTTATTAGACTTGTAGTATTTTTTGCTATTGGGGAAGTTCACCATTTAAATACTTTCTCTGTTACCATGGAAACAGATAGGCCAAATCACAAAGTTCAGTTTTTTTTCAGGCCAGTTCTCTTAAACCATTCAAGGTAATTACCCGGTACTCAAAACTTTGTGCAGGCGTCAAGCTAGTACTTTAGCAAAAGTTCTCAATTTCAATACTTTGTATGGAATTTTTTAATCGAACCCCGGACGGCGAGGTGAAAGACAAGTGTGTTACAACTGTGCCACGACTGATCATTTTGATACATTGTTTTCTAGAAGATCAACAAGATGTGATGATGATGATGATGATGATGATGATGATGATGATGATGATGATGATGATGATGATGATGATCATGATGATGATGATGATGATAGATTGGTACATTTGTATGTGCAAATGTTTTGTTAAAATCTTGCGAAATGAACAATTTTAAAAACACGCTTCAGTGCAGACACGGATCACGCTGTTCAAAATGTGCATCTTGTTGACCAACTTGAGCTCGCTTTAAGGCAGTGCCTATTTCATATTACACTTTAATGGGTTAACCAAAATTTACGTTTCAGATGTCGATGGAGAAAAAGATGTTGAACGTTCTGGAACATCTAGTCTTATTTTCGTATTTTTTTGTTTATTGCCTGCCTTACTTCATATTTATGCCCTAGTATTATTGAATTTGATTTGTATTATTATTACTTGTATGTTAACATGTCAGTAGTTTTTGTTGTTTTAGTAAATACAGGGACTTTATGCTTTACATATATATTGTAGTGCGAGGGACGTAACTCTGTCGTGGAAACCCTATGTTGAGAACTCTCGAGGAAGGAGATAGAAAGAGAGGGAGAGAATAAAAATCTGAGAAAGAGGTCATGTGTGTTTCCTCCTCCACAAAGCGAGTCCTCAAGCAAGAACACCCCCCCGCCCCCGTAACATGATGGAGAATCCGGGTACACCATTGAAGTCTAAGTACTATTAAAACTGTGGTAGTAACACAACAAATGAAACGAGGCAATGAGAACTGCATCCAACAGAATCGTACCTCTTGCGGTAAAATATCTTTTGTGTGACTGTAAGGTGTTCCAGTAGCGCCATAACAACCACAAACTAATGTTTTATACCCTGTGATGAAGAACATAGTGACAATCGATGACATTTTAAATGTGTTCGCCGAAGTGAGTTTTCATCATTAAGTATTGACTTAAAGACCTCTCTATGATTTTCTCATTGTTCTAGTTAATTACTTCAACAGATCACACATCTTCACGTTAATATTAATGTGTGCTAGAGTCTGAAGAAGTCTGTTACATCAAGAAGACGCTGGTTTATCAAGAAGGAGAGAAAAGACCCCTTATGTGATGTTTAATAGACGAAAGCTTCGAAATTATCCTCGATACTCCAACAGTTACAATCACTTTTGTTCTGGGCAGAGAAAGTGATTGTTGCCCCTGGAGTATCGAAATAGACTGAATTACCTGCCTTAGTTACCATTTTTTTCCGCCTGACTACACTCGTTGACACTATTTTCCGTATTTTCGAAGCCTAGCTCTTAAGAAAGAAAACTATGGCAGACAATTCAATCTCAGCTCCGAAAATTATCTGATTTTTTCTGAAACTGAAAAATTGCATGAGATAATGTTAAATAGCCATTTTCCTTATTTTTATATATTCTAATTAACTGTTTCCGGTAATTGCAGACCGACGGTTATTTTTAAACCAAGGAATTTCAGCATTTTAGGACACGTCAGTGAGACAACGCCTGTAGTGAGAGGGAGTGACATCAGGACAGAATACTATGATATTTTAGGAACATAATGTGATCAATTGAACCGCTGTTGTGAAGACTATCCAATATCCAAATCCGTTCATTTTTGAGATTTCAAAGTGTTCTTTCGAGACCAACCCATTCTTAAAACCAAGGTTTTAGGGTAGTTTGGTCCCAGTAGACGAAAGCCTCTGTCGGCGTCAGTAAGCTAACATGAGCTACAAACACGTACAGGTAGCAGATATACAAAGGAGAGAAACAATGATCCATGCCCCTTTATAGGCTATATAAGTTGTTTTTCCCTCACAATTTGCTCCATGGACATCAAAAGGTCGAGGTTTGTCCACAGCTTTAAAAATGAAATATCTTGTCAAATATTATAAACTTATTCTTTCAAATTCGCATGTTCAATATGGCAAACAGATCCTGGAAAAGGTTCGAAATAAATAATTAAACAAAGAAATCTGTAAATAGATCGTCTTGTCTTTATATTGCTCGCTGTGGTCCCACAGAGTAGTAAAACAATGTAGTAACATTAAAAAAAAACCCATGATTTAGGATTTCAAAAAAAAATTGTTAAACTGTCGACATGTATTGCTATACAGACAAAGTAAGGTAGACATTTTGTGTCCTTCTAACTTCAATGTAATGTTAAAA